CCATCACCAACATCATCATCATCATATGACGACCACGGACTCGAACCCAGGAACGTCGCCTTCGACGGTGGATATATCTCTCCCCGAGGCCACCACATCGTAGATTAACTACATCCGCGGTGTAGTGCAAGCCAGTGGCCGGTACTGCTAGACACCGATCAGCGAAAAGCTAATGTCAGACCGTATCGACATTACCCTAAACGGGATATGACAATGCAACTATTCATCCACCTTGTGTGATCTTTTTTTATCTACTGCGTTGTTTCTTTGAACATGGTCATAAGAGACACCTGCATTGTAGTTGGTAATATTTCGAGGGTTTCTAAGAATTTCAAACATACATGATGACGTGTAAGGACCCTATGTGCAAGGACCCATAAATTTATGTAGACATTAACAGCCCCCCCCCCCCCCCCCCCCCCCCCCTCCTCCCCACCCCCCTCCAGTTTCTTAGGAAAAGGATGTGTGTGGAGGGTGTGGTACTTAACATTTTAAAAATGCTTGCCCATACTCTGGAAACAATTTGCGCCTAGTAAATTAAGTGTTATTTTGTTGAAAATATGCCACCAAATGATTAATTTAAATGTTTGCCATTATTATTATTATTATTATTATTATTATTGGGTTTGGTTTTCTTAATTATACAACCCTTCTTGTAGTTGTTTAAAAATTGTTTTTACTCAGTTATGAACTGTTTTGTATTTGTTGAATGAATAATAAATACTTTCAACTTTGGATGTTTTTAAACGAAATATGACTGTAATTGAAAGCGTGATACGTGAGTGCGTTGGTTTAGTTTTCGTGTCTATCATCAAAGTGGTAAAGGTTTAAAAACTGCATTAAACCATACTCACTCACTGTGTTGAATCGTATGTGGAACTTATCTCTCCGCGTGGTTTGCAATTGACAAAACAAAAAACAAACGTACTTTTAAGGCCATTTTATGTATCTTGTCCTCCAACTGACTCCCCTATTCAAAATCCAATCTACTTCTTTTTTTCAATTATATACTGGCGGGGAAAAATAACTGTGCTTCATATAAAGTGGTGTAAATGTTATGTTATTAACAATAACAACATGATGTTTGATCATTCGTTTCTTCCATATTTGGAAGTCCATTGACAAAACCCATACCTGTTACCAGGAGACAGAGAGACACGCCCTAAACGATGGGCTGGGTAAGAACTCAGTATCCCCACAATATTGCCCCCCTACACTGGGTCACCCTTCGATACATTCAGAGGACACTCAACACACGATATATCCCCACAATATTGCCCCCCTACACTGGGTCACCATTCAATACATTCAGAGGACACTTAACACACGATATATCCCCACAATATTGCCCCCCTACACTGGGTCACCATTCAATACATTCAGAGGACACTCAACAAACGATACGGGGAAAAATACCTGTGCTTCATATAAAGTGGTGTAAATGTTATGTTATTAACAATAACAACATGATGTTTGATCATTCGTTTCTTCCATATTTGGAAGTCCATTGACAAAACCCATACCTGTTACCAGCAGACAGAGAGACACGCCCTAAACGATGGGCTGGGTAACAACTCACTTAACAATGTCAGTTTCGCGTTTGACCAACATTTGCATTGATACGGGCGAGGTCCACATTGAAGACACCAGATGATTGAAAACAGTCTTGGGGATGTTGTTCAATGTCAACCAATGATTGGTCCAAATAAGCTTGCGTTAGGAGGCGGTTCTGGTCCTGTCGTACGTATTGACCCATCTCATCCCATACTATGGGGGAGAGGTCTGGAGAAATAGCCGGCCATGGCAGAACAGCAATGTTATACTGTCTCAAAGGTCTGTTACAACACGTGCAATATGTGGGCGGGCATTATCCTGCTACAACGTGACGTCACGTCCCTGCATTTGCATAAAGAGTACAACGTGATTTCGAACGATTTTGTCCCGGTAGCGTACGTCATTTAAATTGTCATTGGCAATAATGAGTTGTATTCTCTCATGAGTTGAGATGCCACCCCATCACATTACACTTCCACCCCAAAAACTGAAGACGTTAAGTAACGCAAGCTTCGCTGAAACGTTTTGGGCGCCTGTAGACCCTTGCTCGACCACCAAGGCTGTCCAGTTGAAACCTAGATTCATCTGTGAACAGTACACTGTCTCCGTCTTGTCTTCTGAACCTCAGATGCCGTCTACACCAAGCTGGGCGTGCACCTACACACACATGCATGCACATCACTGTGTACGCGCAATAATCTTAAATGCAACGTTAAACCTCATTTCACCTCACTTACTCGACCCGTCAGCCGACCCGCCTCTTGGGGATATTTTACAGCTCTTCTGAAGTCTACCCGGCCAAGCTGAGGAAGAGAGTTAGTATGGGGTGTTTGTTTTTCTTTGTTTGTTTGTTAAAAAGCCGTACTCTGGGTCACCCTTCAATACATTCAGAGGACACTCAACACACGATATATCCCCACAATATAGCCCCCCTACACTGGGTCACCCTTCAATACTTTCAGGGGACACTCAACACACAATATATCCCCACAATAAATCCCCCCCTACACTGAGTCACCCTTCGATACATTCAGAGGACACTCAACACACGATATATCCCCACAATATTGCCCCCCTACACTGGGTCATCCTTGAATACGTTCAGGGGACACTCAACACACGATATATCCCCACAATATATCCCCCCTACACTGGGTCACCATTCCATACATTCAGAGGACACTCAACACACGATATATCCCCACATTATATCTCCCCTACACTGGGTCACCCTTCAATACTTTCAGAGGACATGTCAACACACGATATATCCCCACAATATATCTCCCCTACACTGGGTCACCCTATCAATACATTCAGAGGACACTTAACACACCATATATCCCCACAATATATCCCCCCTACACTGGGTCATCCTTCAATACGTTCAGAGGACACTCAACACACGATATATCCCCACAATATATCCCCCCTACACTGGGTCACCCTTCAATACATTCAGAGGACACTTAACACACCATATATCCCCACAATATTGCCCCCCTACACTGGGTCATCCTTCAATACGTTCAGGGGACACTCAACACACGATATATCCCCACAATATATCCCCCCTACACTGGGTCACCCTTCAATACATTCAGAGGACACTTAACACACCATATATCCCCACAATATTGCCCCCCTACACTGGGTCATCCTTCAATACGTTCAGAGGACACTCAACACACGATATATCCCCACAATATATCCCCCCTACACTGGGTCACACTTCAATACATTCAGAGGACACTCAACACACGATAAATCCCCACAATATATCCCCCCTACACTGGGTCACCCTTCAATACATTCAGAGGACACTTAACACACCATATATCCCCACAATATTGCCCCCCTACACTGGGTCATCCTTCAATACGTTCAGAGGACACTCAACACACGATATATCCCCACAATATATCCCCCCTACACTGGGTCACACTTCAATACATTCAGAGGACACTCAACACACGATAAATCCCCACAATATATCCCCCCTACACTGGGTCACCCTTCAATACATTCAGAGGACACTTAACACACCATATATCCCCACAATATTGCCCCCCTACACTGGGTCATCCTTCAATACGTTCAGGGGACACTCAACACACGATATATCCCCACAATATATCCCCCCTACACTGGGTCACCCTTCAATACATTCAGAGGACACTTAACACACCATATATCCCCACAATATTGCCCCCCTACACTGGGTCATCCTTCAATACGTTCAGGGGACACTCAACACACGATATATCCCCACAATATATCCCCCCTACACTGGGTCACCCTTCAATACATTCAGAGGACACTTAACACACCATATATCCCCACAATATTGCCCCCCTACACTGGGTCATCCTTCAATACGTTCAGGGGACACTCAACACACGATATATCCCCACAATATATCCCCCCTACACTGGGTCACACTTCAATACATTCAGAGGACACTCAACACACGATATATCCCCACAATATATCCCCCCTACACTGGGTCACACTTCAATACATTCAGGGGACACTCAAAACACGATATATCCCCACAATATATCCCCCCTACACTGGGTCACCCTTCAATACTTTCAGAGGACATGTCAACACATGATATATCCCCACATTATATCTCCCCTACACTGGGTCACCCTTCAATACATTCAGAGGACACTCAACACACGATATATCCCCACAATATATCCCCCCTACACTGGGTCACCATTCCATACATTCAGGGGACACTCAACACACGATATATCCCCACAATATATCCCCCCTACACTGGGTCACACTTCAATACATTCAGAGGACATGTCAACACACGATATATCCCCACATTATATCTCCCCTACACTGGGTCACCCTTCAATACATTCAGAGGACACTCAACACACGATATATCCCCACAATATATCCCCCCTACACTGGGTCACCATTCCATACATTCAGGGGACACTCAACACACGATATATCCCCACAATATATCCCCTCTACACTGGGTCACCATTCCATACATTCAGATGACACTCAACACACGATATATCCCCACAATATATCCCCCCTACACTGGGTCACCATTCCATACATTCAGGGGACACTCAACACACGATATATCCCCACAATATATCCCCCCTACACTGGGTCACCATTCCATACATTCAGAGGACACTCAACACACGATATATCCCCACAATATATCTCCCCTACACTGGGTCACCATTCCATACATTCAGAGGACACTGAACAAACGATATATCCCCACATTATATCTCCCCTACACTGGGTCACCCTTCACTACATTCAGAGGACACTCAACACACGATATATCCCCACAATATATCCCCCCTACACTGGGTCACCCTTTAATACATTCAGAGGACATGTCAACACAGTATTCATCGCACGGTGCAAGTGTCAGGAATTTAATAAAAAAGTACACGCTGTTATATTATTTTTATTGTCCTTCCAAACTTGATCAAACATGTTGCCATGCATACAGTGTCATTTAATTCTCCTAACATACATTCATGTAACATTGTACATTGTCTTGCAGATCAACTAACTGTGCACAATTTCTTTTGGTGAAAGTTTGCATGAAAGTTTTAGTCCCAGCAATACCCGTAAAACAGTTACAGAAAAGTCTTGCCTTGATGACCAAACAACTGCATTTACCTGCCAGTTCAAAAACATTGTACTCAACAGAATCACACTGTCTGCACATGTTAACACAGAGCCCATCACAGAAGTAGCGTGGAAATGTCCCATTCAAGCCATTTGCCACTGTAACATATGCACAATATACTTTACCGATTCTCAGAAAGGGAGCAAGGGGTACCAGTGGAGATGCATTCAAACACACATATTTACACAAGTTCATCTTTTGATACTTGACTCAAAGGATTTGAATCCAAACTGATTGGCGCCAGTCACCATGGTTACCGTAACTTGAAAAAATGTGTTTTCCTTCTGTTACAGTAAAACCAGCAAAACCCTTGAATACGGAACAAATACTTTCCCACTATCTTCATGGAAATATCTCTCCAAACATACACTGCTGAAAAGAAGGTAAACATACATGCCCCATGACTGATAACGATAGTAATATGAAAGAATTGGGTGTTCTTTAACTTCTTTTGAGTAGTATAGTACATATACATAGTGATATTACTCAATACCATGATACATTATCCAGAAACTTGTTAGTCCAGAAGCCTAGGAACAATATGGTCTGGGCAAACAAGGTTTCACAGTATAGACATGACATATACACAGGTAAGCTACATCTACATCATAACATGCAATTACACTCGGAAATGCAAATGTACAAGCTGTTGAGATTTGAGGTAACGTGAACATTGCAGGACGCGCACAGCTGAACATCTACAATTCCTGTACATCAGAGAGTCACCAACACCATCCCACTGAAATGACGGATGTACGACACCCACAGCATCATCTCTGCTACATCATCCCTACCACCTTCCGGACCCTGTCCAGAACAAGACCAATGTTCTGTCGGTAAAGTCGCTCGTTGCTCAAGTCGATGTAGCTCTGCCGTAGAAGCAGCCTCTTGACCTGCGCCGGCGCCGTCTCGATGGGGACGAAGCGGAGGAGGAGAGGTATGACTGGTTTGTTGTAGTTCTCGGCCAGACCTAAATCCTTCACACAGTTGTCACTTTGTAGATATTTTGGTGTGATGCAGCAGAGCACGACCGCCGATGACTTCATTGTCCGCTGGATCTGTCCCTGTAACGTGTCGTTGGCCGTATCCAAGTTGGTGCAGTTGATGCTGCTTCTTGTGCTGTGACTGCTGTGGCCGCGAGGCAGGTTCACGCTGATGTCGGCCCAACAAACGAGACCTGCTCGTTCCAGGTACATCTGTATTTCCTCCACCTTGCTCTGCATGTCCCATTGGTAGCTGGAACAGGGAAATATAACAGATATTACATATTACAGCTGGAACAGGGAAATATAACAGATATTACATGACAGCTGGAACAGGGTTATATAACAGATATTACATGACAGCTGGAACAGGGAAATAAAACAGATATAACATGACAGCTTGAACAGGGAAATATAACGGATATTACATGACAGCTGGAACAGGGAAATATAACAGATATTACATGACAGCTGGCACAGGGTAATATAACAGATATTACATTCAAAGCTAGAACAAGGGAAATATAACAGATATCACATTGGTAGCTGGAACAGGAAATATAACAGATATCCAATTGGTAGCTGGAACAGGGAAATATAACATATATCCCATTGGTAGCTGGAACAGGGAAATATAACAGATATTACATTGGTAGCTGGAACAGGGAAATGTAACAGATATCCCATTGGTAGCTGGAACAGGGAAATGTAACAGATATCCCATTGGAAGCTGGAACAGGGAAATATAACAGATATCCCATTGGTAGCTGGAACAGGGAAATGTAACAGATATCCCATTGGTAGCTGGAACAGGGAAATGTAACAGATATCCCATTGGTAGCTGGAACAGGGAAATATAACAGATATCCCATTGGTAGCTGGAACAGGGAAATATAACAGATATTACATTGACAGCTGGAACAGGGAAACATAACAGATATTACATTGACAGCTGGAACAGGGAAATGTAACAGATATCACATTGACAGCTGGAACAAGGGAAAAATACCATATACAACATTAACAGCTGTAATTCTGAAAATAATCATCTGAATGTGCAAGTGAAGATGTGTGACCAACATCTGTATGTAAGAATGATAAAGTCGAGATAGATGGCAGATATTGGAAACAATATTACCTGATAAAGACCATGGGTTCTCCCTCTGTCCCCAGCATGGAGCTCATGCTGTCGGCTGAAACATCCAAACACCAGATGAAACATGGAACCCTACAACTAATTGATGGAAACATGCACAAAAACACCAGATGAAACACGGAATCCTACAACTAATTGATGGAAACATGCACAAAAACACCAGATGAAACATGGGACCCTACAACTAATTGATGGAAACATGAACAAAAACACCAGATGAAACATGGGACCCTACAACTAATTGATGGAAACATGCACAAAAACACCAGATGAAACATGGGACCCTACAACTAATTGATGGAAACATGCACAAAAACACCAGATGAAACATGGGACCCTACAACTAATTGATGGAAACATGCACAAAAACACCAGATGAAACATGGGACCCTACAACTAATTGATGGAAACATGCACAAAAACACCAGATGAAACATGGGACCCTACAACTAATTGATGGAAACATGCACAAAAACACCAGATGAAACACGGAATCCTACAACTAATTGATGGAAACATGCACAAAAACACCAGATGAAACATGGGACCCTACAACTAATTGATGGAAACATGCACAAAAACACCAGATGAAACATGGGACCCTACAACTAATTGATGGAAACATGCACAAAAACACCAGATGAAACACGGAACCCTACAACTAATTGATGGAAACATGCACAAAAACACCAGATGAAACATGGAACCCTACAACTAATTGATGGAAACATGCACAAAAACACCAGATGAAACACGGAACCCTACAACTAATTGATGGAAACATGCACAAAAACACCAGATGAAACATGGAACCCTACAACTAATTGATGGAAACATGCACAAAAACACCAGATGAAACACGGAATCCTACAACTAATTGATGGAAACATGCACAAAAACACCAGATGAAACATGGAACCCTACAACTAATTGATGGAAACATGCACAAACACTTGTGTGTGGGAGGGTAATACATATGCAATGTGCAGAAAGTTCCTAGCCTCCAACAACTGTAAAAAGAATGTCTTGAGTTTGGCAAGGCTGGGAACAGGACATTTATAGTCAGTTAACGCCCTTGCAATCGGGAAGACGCTGGATTAAAGACATAACTTGTGAATTTGTGAAAACAAATTCCCAAAGCAGTACAACCTTGAAACAGAAAGACCTCTGCTTCTTGCCCTAGTTGGTCCAGTAAACAACACCATTCTAGTGACCTTGACCTTCAAAGGTAGTTCAAAATATTACTTCAATGCTCACACTATGGATGTGTACCAAATGTAATCCTACCACAGACATGTAGCCAGCAAACACTACTTGGGTTCTCATGAACAGAATACAATTTGAAATATATGACCTTGAGAGCGCATTTAACTTCAAGTTGCAAGTATTTCAAGGTCATTCGCAAGGCCTTTAATTTTCACTGACAATCTATGAATGCCCTTCTCTGTGACCTACACTCACGACCTATTCCCTGTAGATGACATGTACCAAGTGCCACTGACCTACAGTGAATGCATCTGGAACTGGTTACACACCAACTAATGTCCAGGCTATGACCTTGAGGATGACCTTGACATGACTGATAAATGTGTCAAAAACATGTACAGGACTATAAAGGCGATATGCCCAGGCAGCACATGGTTTCCAAACCCAAGTGCAGCAGCAATAGTCAAATTAAGACAAAAGCTCAACCATTGTGAACAGTATTCCTATGTTAATGGGGCTGCCAAATTATTTAACAGAAAAAAAATAAATTCTTAGGCATATTTTTATTCTCAAAACTTTGTTGGCTGGAGTTAATTTGTCATTTATAGCTATTTTAACATGGCCTTGGTTAAGATGTTTTTTTCAAGTCAATATATATAAATATATATTGTTTTGTTTGTTTGTTGTTTAACACCACACTTGTAAATAATCCAGTCTGGACCAGACAATCCAGTGATTGACATCATGAGCATTGATGTTAACAATTGGGATACGATAACATGCATCAACCAAGTCAGCAAGCCTGACCACCAGATGCGCCATTAGTCACCTCTTACGACAGGCATGGGTTGCTGGAGAATTATTCTGTCCCGGATCTTCACGGGGTCAATATATAATATATCAATAATAATACACCGTAATTCATACCATGAAGCTACATGCCCTAACTGTCACAATCACATAACACAGGTAACAGTTAATTCTACAAAATACTTTCCAGTTATTGCAAATAATAATTTAAAGACAACAGCAATTCAACAACAACAACTTAATAACATGATCACTCAAATATGTCAATCATGATTCTCATCACAGAAAAACAACCGCCTTAAACACTGTTTCTTTGTTGTTGAACACCGCACTCAGCAATATTCCAGCTATATGATGGCAGTCTGTAAATCAAGTCTGGACCATGTGATTGATGTCATGAGCATCGATCCACGCAATTTGGATACAATGACATGCATCAAGCAAGTCAGCGATCCTGATCACCCGATCCCATTAGTCGCCTCTTACGACAAGCTTGGGTTGCTGAAGACCTATTCTATCCCGGGTCTTCAGAGGGCTTAAACATGGTTAAAGCACTTATTTTCACATGGAGAATAGTTTATGTTATATTTTCCAACTTGTCACATCTAAAAGATTCACACGCAAAGAGATTAGTACCTATTACATAAGGATACATGCATGTGTTGTGGAAGGCATTTGTTATTTGCAGACACCCTTATAGTATACACACTGTAGTTTAGACACTGCCACCGTGTTAGAGTGTTCATGTAGCTGTTTGTTTGTTTGTTTGTTTGTTTGTTTGTTTGTTTAATGCCACACACAGCAATATTCCCGCTATACGATGGCAGCATAATGAGTCTGGACCAGACAATTCAGTGATTGATAAAATAAGCAGCGATGGAGTGTGATGACACGCTAACTAGTCAACAAACTTACCACCCGATCCATTAACTCACCTCCTATGACCAGCATAGGTTACTGGGGACCTCTTCTAACCCAGAATCCCAATATCTATCTGTCACTCAATATCAAATTAATGCATGTTTTCTCTTTGCTGGTGACAACTTTGGCGAATTCTAAATGTCCTGCAGTCTTACATACGTGCTCCCAGTCTTAAATAGGTGGTCCTGCAGTCTTACATAGGTGGTCCTGCAGTCTTACATAGGTGGTCCTGTAGTTTTACATGGGTGGTCCTGTAGTCTTACATAGGTGGTCCTGCAGTCTTACATAGGTGGTCCTGCATTCTTACATAGGTGGTCCCGGTCTTACATAGATGGTCCTGTAGTCTTACATAGATGGTCCTGCAGTCATACATAGGTGGTCCTTCAGTCTGACATAGGTCGTCCTGCAGTTTTACATAGATGGTCCTGCAGTCTTACATAGGTGGTCCTGCAGTCTTACATCGGTGGTCCTGTAGTCTTACATAGGTGGTCCCGGTTTACATAGATGGTCCTGTAGTCTTACATAGATGGTCCTGCAGTCATACATAGGTGGTCCTGCAGTCTGACATAGGTGGTCCTGTAGTTATAGATAGGCGGTTGGGGCAGTGGGGTAGCCAAGTTGTTCAAGTGTTTCCTTGTCACGCTGAAGGCTTGGGTTTGATTCCCCACACAATGTGTGGAGCCCTAGTGTCTAGTGTTCTGATGAGCTGTACATCAATTCATATTGTCTGTTTGTTCTTGATGGAGAATAGTTTGTTAAGGGTTGTTTGCAATAACTGCAAGAAAACTGAGACAAGAGAGTAGAGACTGTGGGCTGCCATTCAGCTTACACTGGAAAATACCAGCCACAACACTGTCATCATGCTAGGGTTGGAAGATCGGGACGTCAATGACTCGTAAAGATTTAATTTAAGATGAAACAGCCCATATTTAAAGGTGACATGCTGTGAGTTACAACCAGTTTAACTAGTGGACAAAGACCAATCTCATTGAAATCAGATCTTAGTTCTTGCTATCGTTAAACAAAGATCTAAGGACATCCCATTATGGGTTACGTCAGAACGACCTTTCGCGGACTTTGACCGACCAATGAAATGACGGACAAGAAATCGACATTAGCCAATCAGAAGGCAGCTTCCTCGAGCATTACGACACACGTTTCAAACTGGCGACAGGGCTTCGAAACATATTTTGATGTATTCTCAATTAAAAATGTTAAAACTGACAAAAAGAACATTCTGGAATGGCTTATAGATGGTCTAGATTGTATGGATATAGTCATAAAACCTGTAACTGTCGTTCGGCATACCCTCTGTTAAATTTTTCGAGGTTGCAAGATGAGAAAACACATACCGTCCATCACTTTAATGATCTGGTAAGCGATGCTCTGATTGGTTGGATAAAAGATTGTTCTGATGTGACCCGTAATGGGATGTCCTCAGATCTTTGTTTAGCGGTAGCGAAAACTAAGATCTGACTTTAATGAGATTGACAAATGACAAACAGCACAAGATTCATGACATGTTCTGTGAACAGTGCTTATTTTTTTAGACGCGCAAATAGCACATAAGGACTTTAGAGGAACCCATATTGAGTCAAACCACATACTGTGTTACTCTCATTGATCGAGTAGCTTGTATATCTGGTCACAAAAAATATGCAGTTTCACTTACAATTCATAGATTTTTCAAAGTTTTGAACTGACTTACAGAAAAACAAGTTAGGAGCCTGTAACCATGGTAACTGGCAGCTGAGATATACAATGGAAAGTAGGGAAATATCGCACACACCGAAGCAACTACTACAGGATGTCTAGAGGGAGAAGGAATCAGTGGAGGGAGAAGGTGACGGGTCAGTCAGAATCTTCATCACCAAGTGCATAAGAGTGGAGAGAGGAGACGCTAGATGAGCACTCTATCTAGGCTAGTTGATGCTAGGAAACCAGAGGAACTACTGAATACTTATATGAGTAAACTATAAAACATCACCTTCGTCCTAAAATTTGTGCAGCAAAAAGAGAAAAATATATCATTAGAAAATTGTAGTTACATATCTGTAGGAAGCTAGCCTTACCATAACATAAGCTTATATTTTCAAACTTTCAGTTAAATATCTGTAGGAAGCTAGCTTTATCATAACATAAGCCTATTCAAAATTTCAGTTATATATCTGTAGGAAGCTAACCTTATTATAACATAAGCATATATTGTTCAACCTTACAGTTACATATCTGTAGCAAGCTAACCTTATCATAACATAAGCATATATTCAAAATGTCAGTTATATATCTGTAGGAAGATTACCTTCTCCTATTGTAGGCACAGTTATAAATGACCACACATTCAACTTGTTATCTGATGAAATTGTGTGAATAAATATCTCCAGGTGATATGGGTCAATACAATGAGGTAAACGTATTCACTATAATCCCATGCAAGCCAGCAATGTTTACATTCCATGCAGTGTCTTTACAGTGCAACATGGTACCCTACAACTAACCTCAATAAATAGACACTGGATGAGATATGGCTATTAGCCTATCTATATAACTTTACATGGATTCATGTAGGAAGATTAGCTTTCTACTTTCATACTTATTTAGTATGCCTTCCATCTTCCCGAGAAAAGGGAGACAACTGCCAGTAAAAGTCCAGTTTCCACCCTTGCCGAACTAGGCTCGGATTATGGAGTTACATTATGGCTGGTCTAACGAGTCAATGCATAGTCGCATCACAATCACGTAAGGAAATCAAATTCAGGTTCGTAGATAGCCGTGCAGGTCGACTGCAGGATTTACAAAGCATGTGCACCGTCAACTTAGTGTCAAAATACATTTTTCCAAATCTTTTCATATTTATAATGAAGGTGCTCACGTGATTTGATGCACTTTGCGAAGTAAGAGCTGTTTTATTACAATATAGATCTGGATTATCTATTAGGTCATCTTCACTGGGTGCCACCATTTTGTGTGAAGCAAATGCAAGTGATATCAGAGGTGGAATCTGATTGGTCAATAGGAGGGATATAGAAGGGACATAACTCGTAATAACCACTGGTGGCGCTACGATCAATCCCAGCAATTCCAGCCTAGTTCAGCAAGGGTGGAAACTGGACTTTTACAATCAGTTAACTCCCTTGCCTCGGGAAGATGCATGCCTTCATTATGGCAAAGTTTATAGAATGTCACATATCTCGACCCATAACTGTAAATATAGCGAAGATCATAATCAGAAAACATTGACCATTATGTCTACAAATATTAACAAAAAAATACCGATCATAAAAGCACGAGTCTGATTATTTTGACCACTGACCCTGTTTAAAAAAAATAATGATAATAATAAGGTCATCAAAATTGGACCAAATGGACTTGGACTTTCAACCGAGAAATTTGTCAGACAACCAGTAAAGCAGACTCAGTCAAAACTGAAGCATAAAGAAAGCGTTCCTGCTTGTGCATGAAAGCCGGTGATTTATAAATGTCAAGCTGTGACTCAGTGCAACAGCGTCTGTTCAGTGATACATATATACAATGGTACATATCTTATATATAGACCCCTAGCCTGCAGGGAGACGGAATGTAGCACACAAATATTGGGCAGGTGGGTCTGGAAATGCATACTCAAATCATCTTAATCAGGGATCTTACTGTGAATTGAAAAAATGCATGGTAACAGCAAAACAATACAGGTGACAAGTAAAGTGTAAGCTTAATAAATATAAATCTGCAAAAACATGGCTGTGCAGTGTCCAAGAAAATGATGATAAACTTGTTTTGGCAAAATAACTGCACCATGGCAGAAGGTGTCTTTTAGATAAATAAACTTTTTGAAAATTGAAAATAAATTAATAAATACGATCCACTGAAAAAATCTGGTGTCAGCAATGGAATCTGAGTAGATATATCACTCGCACAACTGACAAATGAAAAGGGCAAGACTTGGCTGACCTATTACATCTGCCCCGTATTGTAGAAAAAATATTAACATGCCCTTTTCTTGAAGACAGAGGGGGCACGTCTAAGGCGCCGCGATTCACTGTGCAGAGTTGCGTCCCTTGGGCACGCCAGAAACCTATGATTGTGGGTTTGAATCCCAGTTCGCCCCAATTATGTTTCTAGGTTTGTCAGCACCATACCCGTGCTCGTGGGTTTCACCGAAGTGGTAAACGTCTGAGACCTGCATCACTTTGGGCTTTCCTCCCACATTAAGCTGACACGCCGTGATATAACTGGAATACTGTTTAAAGCAGCGTTAAACCCAACTCACTCACTCACTCATTCACTTGAAGACAAGTTCAAAGAATACAGTTCGTTATTTTCAATTATCTAAAAAATATTGTTTATAATTAGCAAATTTTTATGTTGGAAAAGATAATTGATCTCCTAAACATTAGAATAAAATATGCTGATATCAAACCAAAATAAACTGAAAAAATCAAATTGATCCCAAAAAGCATGTGCCCTTCTTTCTAATGCTTTAAGAAACAGCCAGGGCAATTGCCTTTCATATGGCCATTGATGAAATTACTCGTGTATTGGTATGCAAGAAGAACAAAGTGTGTCGGACTATCACATTTGATGGTGCTTGGATCTAGGGATGGACAGTTTGAGAACAGACTCAGTATTTTGGGGAGATGTGGATTAACATTAGTGTGCTTCATTTTTGAAAACTAAATATCACATGGAACACCAGGATGTGTGCACACTACATTCGACTGTGGACAAGAAGACAGCCAAGTGGCACATAATACAATCGGGAAGTGTGTGACTCTAGAAGTTCTAAATGACTTGACTTGACAAGGAATGCATTTACAATCACACACATACAAACACAAGGTCGACAGTGACAACGGATGCAAGACAGGTGATGAGTTACTACCTACTTCGGCAGCCAGCAAGGACCTCCAGCGGCTTCAGTCCGTCGGCCATCTTGTTGAGGTACGTCTGTTCCAGGACCACGCCAGGAACGCGGCGGAGCGGCTTGATGTGGTGTTCCAGAACATCCAGACTCTCTGTGTACATCTTGGTCTCGAAGTCGATGGCTGGACACTCTCCTGAAACAGTGAAGTGGGTAAGTGTTTGTTTGTTTGTTGGTTGTTTAACGCCACACTAGTATCTAGATTTCTTCAGATTTCAGAAAATACTCTTTAGTCTCCTTTCTATCATATGTGACCCACCAGGATTTATTTGTTCGTTTTTTAACGCCCGCCCTCACCAATATTCCAGCTATATGACGGTGGTCTGTAAAAAGTTGAGTGTGGACCAGACAATCCAGTGATTGACATCATAAGCATCGATTAATGCAATTGGGATACGATGACATGCATCAACCAAGTCAGCGAGCCTGACCACCCGATCTGTTAGTTGCCTCTTACATCAAGCATAGTCGCCTTTTACAGCAAGCATGGGTTCCTGAAGACCTATTCCACCCCAGATCATCACGGGGTAAGTGGGTAAGTGAGTGAATCACTTTTACATTCCTTTTAGCAAAATTCCAATTTATCAATCAAACTACCAATAACTTTGGAACTCTCACACACCATCAGAAAATAGTAGTATACAGTTCATGTTCGTATAAGTAACATATGCCCCTTGGATCATTCTGTATCAATAGGCCCGGGTAAGAATAGGTCCCCAGGATTATTGCTGATAAATTTTATCACTGGTTTGTCTGGCCCAGATGCACTAATTTACAGGTTATCGTGATGTTGCTAGAATATTGCTGTATTACAACAAATAAATGTATGACACTGACATGATACTGTAAATCATTAAAATACTAAAGACAATTGATAAGACTATGAGTGAGTGAGTGAGTGAGTGAGTGAGTGAGTGAGTGAGTGAGTGAGTGAGTGAGGTTTTGTTGAACAGTATTTCAGCTCTATCAACACAGCATGTCAGCTTGACGTGGGAGGAGTGAGTGAGTGAGTTGGGTTTAACACCGCTTTTAACATTATTCCAGTTATATCACGGCGTGTCAGCTTGATGTGGGAGGAAAGCCCGAAGTGTGATGCAGGTCTCAGACGTTTACCACTTTGGTGAAACCCACGAGCACGGGTATGGTGCTGACAAACCTAGAAACATAATTGGGGTGAACCAGGATTCGAAACCCACAATCATAGGTTTCTGGCGTGTCCAGGGGACGCAACTGTGCACGTGGGAGGAAAGCCTGAAGCGAAGCAGGTCTTAAGACATTTGGTGAAACCCACAAGCATGAGTACGGTGCACACAAACCTAGAAACTCATTTACTACCCCCCCCACCTTTATAACCTGCCCCAACCCGGGTACCTGCTGTAGGTCTCAAGTGATGGGTACAAAATGTCTTATTGGGAATTGTTTGACCGTGGCCCTGGCAAAATGTAGTAGATACACGTATAAAACGATTTGGTTATGCAAACACTGAAGTTGATTGAAGTTTTACCTTTATTCAAACATATTAAAGTCAGAAGGAATGCGTGCATAGTCAGAAAGAAATGGGAACATTAGTGACTTATAGTGTAACCATAGAGTTCTAGATAATTTTTTACATTAAACAATATATCACATGACTAACCACGGGTCCGGGTAGCCCTGTGGGTACCCGGGTCCTACTCAGTATCCACCTGACCCGAGGATCCGAGTACCTGAGTTACCCGTCCCAGCCCTACCAGAAACATAATCATGGCAAACCAGGATTCAAAACCACAATCACAGGATTCTGGCACACCTAGGCAACACAACTCTACATAGACACCCAGTTTACAACAACATAATAGTCTTCATTCAATTTACCGAGGACTGCCTTCAGTGACACTCTTAGATTGGTCCAAACATTTTTGAACATAGACGTCACTAGCTTCTTCCCCAACCAATCAGCAAACAGGACTTCATGGAAGACAAACGGTGATCCTGTAGATGCCGCAGTCAAAAGGACAATCACATGGGTTGCTGTGGCGATTTGGGGGCCATTGATTTGAAGGAACTCCTCTTTCGACCTGCCTAGTTTCATGCCATCATGATGTATGACCTGGAAAACAAACACATTTTGTAACCATGGAAACTGACACATTTTACACACAAATCATATATTACAATACCCTCCCTAAAGACCAAATCCTCTACTCCCTCCTGTGACAATGCTATACTCCAGGGCCCACTTTTCACAAAACCATCTTAGCACTAAGACTATCGTGAGCCTATGTTAAAGTATGGGAGTTAAGATCATCTTAGCGCTAAGATCGCTTTGTGCACGTGGGCCCAGAGCATGACCTGCATAAAGCAAACAAGTATTGGAGTTTGAAATGGTCCCCTGCACTCCATGTCACTGTACTCCGATATCAATTACTAATCTGGCCAACTCGAATACATGACACATTCCATGACCCCTAGAATGAGACTTCCCTAAAAAGGGCAGAATGGTAATATCAAGTCATTGCTAAGTACTAAGTAAGTACTCATTCACTAGATTGTTTGTTCCATGAAGGTAACATCATACAATCCTAAACTCCCCTAAAACAATCCTACACTTTCTTAAAGACAATCCTATAACTCCCCTGATACAATCCTATAATTCCCCTACAGTCACATACTCTCTTAAAGACAAGCCTATACTCCCCTCAATACAATCCTACACTTCCTTAAAGACAATCCTATAACTCCCCTGATACAATCCTATAACTCCCCTGATACAATCCAATAATTCCCCTACAGTCACATACTCTCTTGAAGACAAGCCTATACTCCCCTCAATACAATCCTACACTTCCTTAAAGACAATCCTATAACTCCCCTGATACAATCCTATAACTCCCCTGATACAATCCAATAATTCCCCTACAGTCACATACTCTCTTGAAGACAAGCCTATGCTCCCCTCAATACAATCCTACACTTCCTTAAAGACAATCCTATAACTCCCCTGATACAATCCAATAATTCCCCTACAGTCTCATACTCTCTTAAAGACAAGCCGATACTTCCCTCATTACAATCCTACTCCCCCTTGAAGACAATCCTTTAACTCCCCTGATACAATCCTGTAACTTCCCTAATACAATCCTATAACTCCCCTGATACAATCCTATAATCCCTAAATACAATCCAGTAATTCAACAAATACAACCCTATACTCTCTTAAAGGGCAAGTAAAGTGACAAAATTATTGAGACTTTGTTTGTGAATATCAATTTTTGATTGAGAGAAATTCATAATATTTGTAGAAAGTATATATATGTCCAAGTGAAAGTGATGAAATCACACGCTCCATAATCAGCTATCAGAACAAACCAATTTGGGGGCGTGGCCTAAAGCTACCAGCGCAGCGGTGACAACTGTTTTCATTGGCTGTTGCATTTGCCGTGTTTATCTTGTGATTCTTAACCATAATACATATACAGTTTCTGATATTTCTGTTAATGCTACAAAAATAGAAACATTGCATACATTGTTGAATGAGTGATCACCTGATCCCATTAGTCACCTCTTTCGACAAGCCTTGGTTGCTGAAGACCCATTCTAACCCGGATCTTCACAGGTCGTTGAATGTGTGAAACCACCCTTGATTGTGACATTACGATAACAATTTAAGATCGGTAATTACAGTCTCATTACTAACTCCCGTTCAGGTAATAAAACACCAGCTGCCCTCGGCCCTATTCCACACAATAAATGCCTGTCAGGGATTAATCCCCTCAGTAAACACCTGAAGGCATCTTCAGTGTTGTTACCAAGGTGACATATGTTGTTGATACAGTAATGAAATAGATGAGCAGACAGAAAAAAACTGTTGTGTGTCACAAAACCCGAGGCAGAAGCAGCCAGATTGGGCGTTGGTCTGATTGTCATGAGTGTCAAACACCGGGAACCCATTTTAACATCCAGTAAGGAGATTCCCCGGAATGGAGGAATTTTTTCGTTTGGGGGAATGATGTCATTTTTTATCGTCAGTTTTACGCTATTTATGTTTTTCAAATTGAAATTTTGGTCAAGCATTTGTGATTAAGTATGCCCTAACGTTAAAATCAGCATAGTTGCTTTATTGAATTTTCTTGCCGATATTGACACTCCTATAATTCCTCTAATACAGTCCCATACTTCCCATAAAAACAATCCTATACTTCCCCTAAAGATGACCCTCCTCAAAGACTCCCATGGTATAACTGGGACCACTACATACATAGGAATGGTTTACAAGTATTGTGTCTGGCAATAACTTCAATTATGCTTCTGTAAGTATACACCATATTGTTCCATACAATGATAGCCCAGTGTATACATGGTATACACACTGAATATATCCCCCCGCCTAGGCTTACAGCCTAATGCTGGTCAAGCTGCTCGGCAAACAGCGGAAGCCACAACACACTTAAGCCTGAATATCCTTGGAATGGCAATATTTATACATGTATACGGCATTTGGAGTATGTTATAGTGATATTTATGTTTGTTTGTTGAACGCCACACACAGCAATATTCCAGTTATATGACAGCGGTCTGTAAATAATCGAGTCTGAACCAGATAATTCAGTAATTGTCATCATCAGCATTGATCCACGCAATTGAAACACGATGACATGCATCTACCAAGACAGCGAAATCTAACCACCTGATCCTGTTAGTTGATCTTAGTCTTAAGGCAAGCATGTATTCCTGAAGACCTATTCTAACCCGGATCTTTATTATATTTATATTTATGTAGGATACATAATGCAGTTATTTAATATTTGTGTACAAATCTTGTAGCAGAGTATTACAATGTAACTTGTTACAATAGTGTTTTTGCTACTGTATGTTCTACTCTGTAGCAACTAGCTAGGTAATATTGATGTGTTATTTCACACATAACAAACCATCCAAGTGTATATATTTGTATAAACTACTCTCAAATTCACAAGTAATCATATCACATTCAGTTTTGTGTGTCTATTTAACTGACCTCAGCATGCTTATGATACAGTACTTATATCAAAGGGACCGCCTCTGTGGCCTTTGTGGTAGAGAGTCCACCCGGAGAGTGGAAAGTCATGGGTTCGATCCCCGGCCACGTCATACCAAAAGACGTTAAAAGATGGTACTTGTTGTTACCCTGTCTGGCGCTCGGCATAAAGGCGCTAAAACAAGGACTGGTCGACTCGGAGTCAGTATACTGTGTCTGAGTGGGGTATTCATGTTAAACTGTGGCATGGTGTCTCAGTGGGCTAGCACTATAAATCGTCATTAGTCCGGACTAGTACAAGCAGCCACACACACATGTGCATGCACGTCGCTATATAAGTGCAATAATCTCGGACGTGACGTTAAATCCAATTTCACCTCACCTCACTTATATCAAAATGCCTCTCTTGATGTGTCAGTTGGTACGAACAAGACAAGATGACACTGATAATCAACTAATAAATTCCTGTTTACTAAACAAATCACACTCACTTAATGTCAATCACTAATGTAATACATCATCGTCATGAAAGGCGACTATGGGGATCGGGTGGTCAGATCGCTGTCGTTTGATGCATGTTATCGTATCCCAATTGCGTAGATCGATGCTAAGGATGTTAATCACTGGATTGTCTGATCCAGACTCGATTATTTACAGATTGGGTCATATAGCTGGAATATTGCGTTTAACAACAAAGAAACATATCATTGTGACTATAATCATGATAATCATGTAATGTAGAAAACACAACACAACAATACTATCTATTTCCTGAAACAGTCACGAGAATCATCAGTGTTGACAGGTGACGCCTACACTGCTCAGTTAAACACAATCAGTTGTGGGATCTGTGGCCACTAGAACATACAGAAAACATCTCTAAATCTGTCACGGTGTACCCACACAATAATGCTCGTCAGCCATTGAAGCTACATGTATATAATCTACCAAGCCTCGTCTGTCTTCAGGGTACATCTCAAATTGGTCATTATTTACCGATCACTGATCACGCTGACACAATCTATCGAACAACACAACTATTACCATATGTTCTTGGGGCAAATTATACCACAAAAAAGTAATGTATATTTAGTATGTGTACAGTGTGTGTTTCAGTTAATAGATTTCATGAAGGATTAGCTGGTGTCAGTTCATATCAAGAAATCAATCATAAACATGATTGATTATTTTCCAATGATTTTAGTTCAGTATGTAGAAATTATGGGTGATAATCACATTACACAACACACCCAGACACCAGACATGGTTTCCAGGCATGTTGCCATGGTTCCTGGTTCCGTATTTTCCTAACAGATGTGCTTGTGCTGCCTAGTACAGTCCATCTTCCCGAGGCAAGAGAGTTAACTGGCTATAAAAGTCCAGTTTCCACCCTTGCCGAACTTGGCTGGAATTACTTGGCTCGATCATAGCGCCACCAGTGGCTATTACCAGTTATGTCCCTTCTAAGCCCCTCCTATGGACAAATCAGAACCTATCTCCCGTATCACTTGCATTTGTTTCACACAAAATGGTGGCACCATCGATAATCAAGATCTATATTGTGATAAAACGGGTCTTACATCGCGACATGCACCAAATCACGTGAGCACCTTGATTAAAAACATGAAAAGATTTGGAAAATATCTGCTGACAATGAGTTGGCGGTGCACATGCTTTGCAAATCCTGCAATCGACCGAAACCTGCACGACATTTTTGTGAACCGAATTTCGATTTCGGCGCACGATTTTGATTGGACTATGCATAGACTCGTTAGTCCAGCCAAAATGTAGCTCCATAATACTAGCCTAGTTTGGCAAGGGTGGAAACTGGACTTTTTTAGTCAGTTAACTCACTTGCCTCGGGAAGATGAGTACAGTCAAACAATTGAAGAGTTTGCTGTCTAATTAATTGTTATTTACATGAGTGACATTTGTATGAACATGAATGCCCTCAAGGGTATCATATTTCTGGTCTCTTTCATGATGGCAAGGGAGAGTTTTTTTTGTTATATGTATACTTTTTTAACAAACTGTCATTGAGTGTCAGCTGTGTACATTAACTAACTGATGCTTCAAATGTCATATCATCGTATTGTTCTCAAAGTGGATTAAATCTCATAAACGATGACGTTAAGGTATCCTACAGGTTTCATACAAATCGTCCCGGGGATGTTATCTTCTCATTAACTGTTTGTGTAATGTTTAGTGTTATTATTTGTAATGTTGCGTTTCTCTGCTGGGGTTCGAACCCTCACATATTGTATGTAATTTCGCTAAATATTATCAACTCAATACCAGCTTGGCCACAAGGGCTTTGTGAAAAGTGTGAAAATATTTTGAACACATACTTTGAAGTGTTAATTATTATTGGCAGTGTGTGATAAAATATATTGCTATTTTTCTGAATTATTTTAATTTTAATCTGAAATTATCAATAAACTGTTTCTACTTTATGATTCAAACCATCTTCCTGACTCAAGGTAATTAACTGACTATAAAAGTCCAGTTTCCACCCCTGCCAGATTAGGCTGGAATTTCTGGGCTCCTTCGCAGGTCCATCAGTGGCAATTACGAGTTATGTCCCTCCTATTAACCAATCAGATTCCACCTCTCACACGCCATGTTTCAAACAAAATGGCAAAGCCCAGTCAAGACGATCTGATTGATAATCAAAACCTATGTTGTAATAAAACGGGTCTTACTTCGCAAAGTGCATCAAATCACAGGAGCAGCTTGATTAAAAACATGAAATGATTTGGAAAATATCTATTGACGCTTAATTTGAGCTGGCGGTACTACATGCTTTCCAAAGTTTGCAATGTCTGGATATACGAACGAGATGTCGATTTAGTTATGCAATTTTGATTGGACTATGCATAAACTTGTTAGTCTATCAAAAACATAACTCCATAATTGCAGCCTATTTCGACAAGGATGGAAACTGGACTTTTATAGTCTGTTAACTCCCTTGCCTCGGGAAGATGGATTCAAACAGATGCACACTGGCTTCAACATATGTAAAAGCAACAGCCGAGAGTGTGTTGTCATCATGGACAAGTTACATGAGAACATTTGTATAGAGGATAAACAACTAAACTCTCAACCAGTTCATGCAGTTCATTCATTGTAATCGGGTGACCAATTATTTTTTACGAAAAATGTGTACACATATTATCATCATTTTAACACATTTTGAAGCATAAAGTCAGCATATAAGTTTAATAAACACTTTCACCATGTTCACTTGGGTTGTTATGAGATTAATACCACCATCCTCGAAATAAAAAACTCAGGGCTAACATCAGTTGGTTTTATCCCTGGGTGCAAGTTTGGTCTCAAAAAGAAAACTGAGACATTTCACATATTATATGACTTTCACAATTTCAGAAGGGACATAAAATTATAATATAGATATACATGTATATCACAATACATCACCTTAGATCATAAGCATTCAAATCCAAACGTACAACAGTTACCTCAATTACTCACCTGTAAGTTTTTTTTCCTTAGATCAGCCTTGATATTCTGCGCCAGCCTGACATCAGCTGGGTCATAAATCACATACACCACGTCAGGTTTTGCACGTTGAGCTCGTGCTCGCAAGTGCCAGTTGTCCGGCTGTTTGTGCTCCTTGTCCAGTGTCTGTAAGATCTGTTGCATGATTTTCTTCCTGACCACTCGACTGTCCACCCCCAGGTACTTGACCATGTCGTGGTCTGTCAGTGACATGAGCAGAAACCCGTCTACCATGTTCTCGGCAAGACTCTGGCGATAGAACTCTTTGATGCCGAGTTTGAACAACCATTCCTGCAAGTCCCCCACGTTCCATTGACAGATCTTCTTCCGTTTGTATTCGCCGGTGAACTCGGCGTCGGGTGCACACAGCGGGGTCGGGGGAGAGGTGAGGGTGGCGAACTTTTCCAGCTCTTCCATCACAGAACCAATCACGATAGACGTCTTCTCCGCCAGACTCAGCTTGGCGTGAACAGTCAGGTCTACGGCGTCTTTGAGGATGCCGCTGTAGTGCTTTGGTACCTCGCTGTTTTCTATGTTATTGAACAGAATTGGAAAGAGTCGGACGGAAGCGGGATCCATCCTATGCCTGTCGATAAGCGCCTTGCCTTCGTACACGGAGACAGGGCACGTGAAGTAACTGTCTGACAACACGAGGATTGCTGCTCGACATTTCTCCACAGCTTCCATTCTTAGAGAAAACCAGCATGGACTGTCCGTGTTCTTCTCGTCTTTGTCAAACCAAAGATCGTCTGCCAGATTGTTTTCTTTGAGTTGCTGGGTCGTTTCTACAACGAATCTCCGCTCCAAGAACCCAGCATCTGGGGAGTAAGACACGAATATCCCCTTCTTTGGTTTCTTGCTTTTTGAACTCATTGTAGAATTTGACGTTTTCAGAGGTTCCATTTTGTTGGAATCGGGTTTCTTGGCAAGTTCGGTGTCCTTGACTTGCGGAGGTTTCTTAGCTTTGTCATTTGACACTGAATCGAACTGGTTGATGCTCTCTGGTTTGTCCCCAGCAATTGACTTCTTTATTTCTACAGATATCTTCCCTAAATCATTATCGTTATGCTCCTCGCTCTTACCCGTCTCTTCCTCTCGCGGCGTTTCCTTCTCCGGCACGTCGACGTGTTTATTCGACTCGTCATTCTGAATGACAGGTGCAGATGGTGCGTCTTTCTTTCCTTTCTCCATAATGTTGTTTTTGTCTGTCACTCCGATACCACCCCCGTCTGTTGTTTTGCCCATTCTCTCCCCACAAACACTTGACTTTTCACCTGTGGCGTCTATCACCTCAACATACCCCTCCGTTTCACTATCTCACGTTGTCAGGGTACGTAAACATATCCACATGCTCGCAATAGTAGACGTACACTCAAATAATCGTCAAAACATTTGTATTCACGACAAATTCATCAATTATCTACAGTTCTGTCACATTTACTTGGCCGACCGACGCGACTATGGCTTCCTGGCTTGGCTAGCAGCACATAGAAACCAAACACAGCCGGGCTACGGATTCGTCACGTGTGGCTGCGCTGTTCTGGCTGTTCCATTGTCCTCCCCCGGTAGTGAGATCGATAATGTTTCAAAGTGGCCCTCTTTATTGCTGAGGTTAAGTTACGTTATATTTAGGAACAAAGCTGTCGGTGAAAAGGTCATAAACTACTGGTACTCGAGGAGAAAACAATTAACCATACTTCAAAAACGACTAAGAAAAACTCACGCTTTCTTATCAACGCGTTGAAGTAGATTCTGCTTTAGTAAACCTGTCATTGAAAAATGACCCTCAATTTGTAACTTCAAAAGAAACTTACGGCGTTTGTCATGGGGAAACACCCTCCATACTAAATTTCGATTTTTTGTATAGCCGTTTTTTCATTCCTTATGTCATGGAAAGAAGATTTCTTAAATTTACCATGTGAAGTTTTAGGTCCCATACCATGTGTATGCTTATTATAATATTTCCATACTCAATCCATTTATTGAAACACGATTGCATTTTAGGTTTTAGATCAACATGACGTAAATAATAATACGCTGTGACGTCATTATTATTGTGACGTCTTAAAACATTACGTCAACAATGCCGTCTGTATTACGTCAACAGTGGTATTTGAAATACCTCTACGCGAAATCATTTTTACGCATTGATTTCGTATGGATATATATTCCACACCTTATGCTCTCGCTCGGGATATATCGGAATTTAGACACTGGTGTCGTAAACATAGTATGACACGAACACGAATATAATGTTAAATTTATTACCGAAGAAGATGAAGATGTCTATAATTACAGAGGCGAATTTTAGTGTTTACCTATAAGGACAGCAAGTCTCAACAGAAGCGGAACCAAAATTGTCGAATGACGTCAAAAATCTTTAGCTTTGACGTCGTTCGAATGACGTCAACAATGCCGTCCGGATGACGGAAACAATACACTGTTGTCTCGTGACGTGATATGATCCTAGGGCACATATGATTTTTATGAACCCGATATGTTTGCCCTCGTAGATAATAAATATATGATTACCTACGAGGCCAAACATATCGAGGCAACAGAGTATTGTATCCATCATCCGGACGGCATTGTTGACGTCATTCGAATCTTATTGTGACGTGAAGTCGGAATGACGTCACACTAGAAACGACGTCATTGCTGAAGATTGTTGTATGACATAAACACTCATATAACATATCCTCTATGTGTGTGTGTGTGTGTGTGTGTGTATGTGTGTGTGTGTGTGTGTGTGTGTGTGTGTGTGTTAACTCTCTTATTTTTAGCCATATGGATAACAATATCACATCTCATGCGATATAATGATATTCGCGCATAGTGAATTTGTACGAGTTAAACTGATAATTATAATAATCGTTTTACATTCTTTCAAAGTAAAACCCTCTATAGCCTATAACAAATTAAAAACAAACAACAAATATGATGAATTATATCACTTTTAAGCATTTATATCGCGCAGATTACGTCATTAATCACAATGACTTGCCGAGATGAATAATTTGAATCAAGACTACGCGCACTATAAAACCAGTGCTCGCCCATGACCCCTCAATCTGCTGAGAATGGACTGTTCCATAGTTACCGCTGTCTCTTACATGATGGGTTAGTGACAACGACCGCTGTTAACCTGGTTAGTGAGATTAGCTAGTGAGGTGATGCATGGTTTGGCTTAAAACACGAACGATATGAGTTTTACTAATACATCCATGTCCTGTAATGTTTAAAAACAATATAACGCTTCGTGGAGCGCGTTACTTGGCATAGAGGGAGCCGCAGTTAGGCGGGTTGCTGAGAGCTGGTAAGTTAACCGATCTAACCAACATGGCGGCCGACAGGCTCGTTAGGGAGTAGTTAGCCCTTCATGCAGCAGTTTTCTAACAACCTAGAAATAAAAGAAGAGTCTACATAATTAGTTTGCATGAATTAAATGATGTTGCAAATTCTTAACGAGATCTATTTTTAAACTCGGGGAATCCCCATATTCCAGCGCGCCTGGACTGTGTTGACCTGAGATATATCTGGGCGAGGATGAGACAAATAGTAGATAACGCCCAATGGATCCGGGACAAGAGTGTCGTCGGTTCACTGGACATTCCACTCAAAACGCCCACTGCCCAATCTGCGTCCAGTCTCCTAACAATACCACCCTATATTTATATGATTTTTTTTAGCAAATACATACACAAATATCGACATTAATATTTAACATTATTCACATTATGTATAATTTTGTATAACAGATCTTGTTTTCACATTATATATACATATTTACACAATTTTATAAAGCCATAGATCTATATGAATTGCAACATTTTAACTATATGCATGATAGAAAGACCTGTACATAACATATTATTTAAGTCTTTTATTATGTTGTATAATTTTTACATATTTTAACGTAAGGGGCGACCAACCGGATCTGGGGGTCAGGCTTGCTGTCTTGGTTGATGCATGTCATCGATCCCAATTGCATGGATCAATGCTCATGATATTAATCACTGGATTGTCTGGTCCAGACTCGATCATTTTTCAGACTGCTGGAATACAGCTAGAATATTGCTGGAATATTGCTGGAATATTGCTGGAATATTGCTGAGTGTTCAGCACAATTTCATTGTGTTCAGTCATGATTTGGACAACACTGGATATGAATGCTACTCTTTTTTTATGTGATATTTGCAATACTTTCCCAATGATATCCACTGGGAGTGTATTGCATGTATCATATGAAATAGAGTGGGAGATATTTCTTCATGAAAAAAAAATGAAAAAAAAGGGATCTTCAGTGATTACATATACACATTGTTTTTAAGAGTATGGCGGGGGTCCAGTCGTTTAAGGCGTCGCGATTTGCTGTGCAGAGTTGTATCCCTTGGGCGCGCCCCGATTATGTTTCCAGGTTTGTCAGCACCATACCCGTGCTCGTGGGTTTCACCGAAGTGGTAACTTCTGAGACCTGCATCAATTCGGGCTTTCCTCCCATATTAAGCTGACATGCCGGGATATAACTGGAATACTGTTAAAAGCGGCATTTTGGTTAGCATAGTAGAAGTCATCTTCCCGAGTCAAGGGAATTATCTGACTATAAATGTCCAGTTTCTACCCTTGCCAAACTAGGCTGGAAATATGGAGTTCTGTTTTGGCTGGACTAACGAGTCTATGCATAGTCCAATCACAGTTGCGTAACAAAATCGACATCCGGTTCGTAAAGAACATGGATTTCAACGTGAAGATTTCGGTCGACTGCAGGATTTGCAAAGGATGTGTACCATCAACTGGGCATCGACAAATATTTTGCAAATCTTTTCATGTTTTTAATCAAGGTGCTCACGTGATTTGATGCACCCTGCGAGGTAAGACCCTTTTTTAACAATATAGATCTTGATTATCGATCAGATCGTCTTGACTGGGCACCGCTATTTTGTTTGAGTGAGTCAGTGAGTGAGTATGGGTTTACGCCGCTTTTAGCAATATTCCAGCAATATCACAGCGGGGGACACCAGAAATGGGCTTCACACATTGTACCCATGTTGGGAATCGAACCCGGGTCTTCGGCGTGACGAGCGAACGCTTTAACCACTAGGCTACCCGACTGCCCCCTATTTTGTTTGAAGCAGATGCAAGTGATATGAGAGATGGAACCTGATTGGTCAATAGGAGGGACATAGAAGGAACATAACCCGTAACAGCCACTGATGGTGCTACAATCAAGCCCAGAAATTCCAGCGTAGTTCGGCAAGGGTGGAAACTGGACTTTTATAGTCGGTTAACTCCCTTGCCTCGGGAAGATGGGTAGAAGTTGGGTCAGGTAATAACAAGCAATTGTATTATTGAGTCCAATAGATTGTGTGAGGAAGGACAGTGGTAGTGTTATCTAGGATTCCAAACTAAGTGCCCTTGGCAGGCAAATTTGGAAACCAAAACTTGATCATGTTGATATCGTTCAAAATTAGATTTTTAATGTTTGTATATTTTAAATTCTAGGGAATTTTTGATTTAGATTTGGGGCCCAATCTTGGCCTCTAGGCAGGTCTAGCTTAAACCTCAGAGTGATTCCTCTATATACCAGCATACCTGCATTTAAGGACCTATTATATCTCTTCCTACAGCCTGAAGTGTTGGACAGCCATGTCTCTCCCGATGGTGTCTGTGGGTGGCGGACAGCCCCTCTTCACCGTCGAGCAGATTGAGCTCATCCGACGATTGAGGAACAGTGGCATCACCAAGGAGCAGGTGATCCAGGCCTTTGATGCGTTCAGCCGCATCGACGCTGAACTGGGTCACCTCTACACTGTCCCCAAGTGTCTGGCGCCAGTGGGCACCATGAAACTAAACCAGCCAACACCTTGTCAGTCGGCCAAGGCATCAAGTTCTACTGAGGTGTCAAGGGTCAAGCGACGTCGTGATGATAGCTTTGATGAGGAGGGAGGTTTTGGGGAGGATGAGATTGTCATACATTCCTTCGAGGAGCGTGAGTTGGTCAGTCCCCAGAACCACAACTCTCTCGGTATCGATGATGACCTGAAAGCCAGGCTGGATGATTTCATGAAGTTAGTACTGTGTTTGTATTGTGGGTAGTGCAGCGCTTACTTTTGGGCAAAGGTGACATTTCCAGTTCAGTCAATTTACATGAGCAATTGCTGACACTTTCCTCAATATGACATTATCACCTGTTAGGCTAAAAAAAAAAATAGCCCTGGTTCCCATCATCATAAAGTCAGCTGCATGTTTCGTTTTTATTTCCATTTAAAACTTTACAAAAATATCATAATACTTAAAGACAATTTGATCCAATATAGCACGCAGTTACTTCCCTTTACATGTGCACTGCTTCACTGTGCATCTCGTGTTATGGTCATGGTGGCAATAGAAGTTGGTATGCATGTTTATGTAGGGAGGCCAGGTTGATGGTACACAGCTGTTTATTTGGTTACATAATAATTTGAACAAGCAAAAAAACACACACCCCAAAATGCCTGCCCGCACTATATTTTCAAAAGTCATTGCCTGAGAACCAATTCTTTTATTTTTTAAGCCTTAAGCCTCCTCTGTTACAAATGAGGTGACTGTGACTTAACAGAAATAGTTCAAGCAACTAGGGCTGGGACGGGTAACTCGCGTACCCGGATCGGGTGGGTACTGAGTAGGACCTGGGTACCCACAGGATGACCCGGACCCGTGGTTAGTCACGTGATATATAGTTTAATGACAAAAATTATCTAGAACTCTATGGTTACACAAAAAGTCACTAAGTCACAATGCACCCATTCCTTCTGACTTTTTATATGGTTGAATAAAGATACAACTATGTGTAACTTAAGTCATCTTCAGTGTATGCATGACCAGATCGTTTAATACATGATCAAAAAACGTTTTGCAAGTGCTGTGGTAAAAGATTTCCACTCAGATATTTAGTATCTCTTGAGACCTACAGTGGGTACCCGGGTAGGGTTGGGTAATTGGAGGGTGGGTACCCAGGTAGTAAATTTGGACTCGTCCCAGCCCTACAAGCAACACATCGCTTCCATTTCAATTCTCCCTACCGACCTTGCTGACATTGTTTTTTATAAATTCTGTAAAATAAGTTATAAAGAGATGCCCAAGTGCTCAAAAAGCCTTATTCCTGATAAAATCAAGCAGATGTCAAAGTTAGGTGACAATATGGTCAAGTACATTGTTTTTGTGGAGTGGTCTCACACTGCTGTATTCTCTCTATTGACAGAATGCCAGCTCCGAAGCGACTTGAAGAAATCATCACCATGGTTACAATGGCTGGTGTCGGGGTGCCGATCATTGCTGACAAAACAGGTAATGGTTGCAGAGAGAGCTGGGCCCACTTGCACAAAACGATCTTAGGGCTAAGACTATTGTAAGCCTATGTTAAAGTATGGGAGTTACGATCATCTTAGCGCTAAGATCGCTTTGTGCAAGTGGGCCCAGGTGTCTACAATGAGTCCAGTTAAATACCACTTTGAATTCACCGACTGTCAGCTTAGTGGGGAGGGAAAGCCCATAGCGATGCAGGCCTAACCTGTTTGTGGTGCTGACAAACCAAGGATTATAATCAGGATGAATGTGGTATTCGAACCAGCAGTATTAGGATTTTGTCATAGCTAAGTGAAAGATCGTATAACAATTCGTTACAACACAACTTGTTTATTCAAGATCCAGACTCAAAACTCACGCTTCTACCATCTCTGTTACATCCTCGCAACCTAACCATATATCCTAGCAACATGTACCAAACATTCGATCACTTATCACTTACCAGTTACTTAGCAGTATTAGAATTTCCTCACAGTGACAGTGTTTACATTCGTTATGACTTACAGTGTCTAGAGTTATCTCCCTTTGGAAGTGCTTGTCGCTATCATAAGGCATACAACTCTGCACAGCATATAGGGCCATCATTGAGCCGTTAAAACCAAACTCACTCACTCTGAGGGGCGATTGGAAAACCTAGTAGTTAAAGCATTCGATCGTCACGCCAAGACCCAGGTTCGATTTCCGACATGGGTACAATGTTTGAAGCCCATTTCTGGTGTCCCCCGCCATGATATTGCTGGAATATTGCTAAAAGCGGCATTAAACCATACCCACTCACTCTGAATGAGTATTGGGGACACGGGTGGCCCAGTCGTCTAAGGCGCCATGATTTGCTGTGCAGAGTTGCGTCCCTTGGCTAGGCTAGAAACCTATGATTGTGGGTTTGAATCCCGGTTCGCCCCAATTATGTTTCTTGGTTTGTCAGCACCATAACCGTGCTCGTGGGTTTCACCGAAGTGGTAAACGTCTGAGACCTGTATCACTTCGGGCTTTCCTCCCACATTAAGCTGTCGCGCCGTGATATAACTGGAATACTGTTAAAAGCGACGTTAAACCTTAACTTACTGAATGTGTATTTGTGTAAACTTCAACCATATCCAGTTGTGGATTACCTGATTGATAAATAAACTCTGTACTAAAAGAATAACGGAAGTTGCTTGGGAGTGTCACTGATCCATCGTCTTGTCCCAGGACTGACCGTCTCCACCATCAACCGCTTCCTCCAGGGGGAGACTGTGGACATCTCCAGCAACCAGAGGCGCTCCATCTACATCTGGTACCTCAAGCAGCTTCAGAAGGCCGGCACCACCACATACATGCCGGCCAAACCTGCAATGTCAAGGCCGCAGGCGGCCCTCGTACACCGGAAGGGGATGGGGCAGCCAGTCGTTCAGATCATTCCCAGCATCAGGACACCAGGTAGCATTTGTTTGTTTGTTTGTTTGTTTGTTGTGATCAGATTACATTGTCTATCAATCAGAATATATTTTTTGTTTGTTGTTTAACGCCACACTCAGCAATATTCCAGTTATATGACGGCGGTCTGTAAATAATCAAATCTGGACCAGACAAACCAGTGATTGATATCATGAGCGTTAATGTACGCAATTGGGATACGATGACATGCATCAACCAAGTCAGCGAGCCTCACAACCTGATCTGTAAGTTGCCTCTTACGACAAGCATGGGTTGCTGAAGACCTATTCTACCCCGGATCTTCACGGGAACACCAGTTGGTCACGATGGCAGCATGTCTGTCATCCCCTCCCAGTAATGTTTCCGATGGACGACTAACAGTCAAGTCGCTTCACTCACTCACTGAAAATGCTTCACTTATTTCACATTATTGTACAGGACAGGAGGGCCAGTTGAAGGTCATCTCAGTCAAGGTGACAGGTCAAAGGTTATCTATCCACACACAGCAGCCCTTGTGGCGAACAAATCACCAATTCAGTTGACTCTAACTCAGACTGTCCTGGACTTGAGCAAATAGTCTGAAGCCCAAGCCAAATAAAATTACGCTCAGTCCATGAAGCTCAGCAAGTAATAGTGTATATGCTTGTATTAGCTTTAAAATGTGAGCTAGTAGAGAAAAAAAGATTTTGGCCTAGACATGTCATCTGCTGTAAAACTTCTTTCCAAATCTGTCTTATTCTTGATGATGAACGTAATGTCTATGTTTCACTTTCCCCTGCGGCAGAGATCAGTCTTGATAGCAGCACACTGGACAGCCACTTCACCATCATCCATGGCGGTGAGCCCATACCTCGCCGTGAGCGCTTCACCTTCCGGGAGAAGCACATCGAGATCCTGGAAGAAGCATTCCGAGCCAATCAGTACCCTTCGAACGAGGAGCGCGAGCAGATTGCCATCACATGCAATGATGTCATGAAGGTCATATGTGAGTGTGCAGCCTTACTCTTTGTCTCAGAAATGTGAGTGAGTGAGTGAGTGAGTGAGTGAGCTAGTAAATCAAGAAAATCAGGTGAGGTGAGGTAAAATGGGGTTTAATGTCACGTCCAAGATTATTGCACTTATATAGCGACGTGGGTGGGTGTGCATGTGCGTGCGTGCTTGTACTAGTCTGGACTGATGCCGATTTATAGTGCTAGCCCACTGAGATATTATGCTTCAGTTTAATATGAATACCCCACTCAGACACAGTAGCCTATACAGACTCCGAGCAAGCAGATCTTGTTTTAGCCCCTTAATGCCAAGCGCCAGACAGGGTAACAAGTACCAATTTTAACGTCTTTTAGTATGACGCGGACGGGGATTGAACCCCGGACCTTCCGCTCTCCGGGCAGACATACTACCACTAGACCACAGAGGGGGTCCAAGAAAATCAGACGAGTTTTAATCTGTATATGATATGGTGACACACTGTCCTGTCATGTAGTCAGGTGATTTTTGTTTTGTTAAGACACGCCCGCTGCACTCAGCAATATTCCAGCTATATGACAGCGGTCTGTAAATGATCAAATCTGGACCAGACAATCCAGTGATCGATATGAGAATGGATCCACAAAATTGGGATATGATGACATGCATCAACTAAGTCAGCGTGGCTGACCATTCGATCCCATTAGTTGCCTCTGATGACAAGCATAGTTGCCTCTTACAGCAAGCATGGATTGCTGAAGACCTATTCTACCCCGGATCTTCAATTGGTCACCCGATTACAATGAATGAACTGGTTGAGAGTTTAGTTGTTTATCCCCTATAGAAACACTACGACTTGATCGGTGTCTTGATAATGTTCTCATGTAACTTGTCAATGATGACAACACTCTCGGCTGTTGCTTTTACACATGTTGAAGCCAGTGTGCATCTGTTTGAATCCATCTTCCCGAGGCAAGTGAGTTAACTGACTATAAAAGTCCAGTTTCCACCCTTGCCGAACTAGGCTGGTATTATGGAGTTACATTTTGGCTGGACTTACGAGTCTATGCATAGTCCAATCAAAATCGCGCACCAAAATCGAAATCCGGTTCGTAAAGTGTCATGCAGATTTCGGTCGACTGCAGGATTTGCAAAGCAAGTGCACCGCTAACTCGTTGTCAACATATATTTTCTAAATCTTTTCATGCTTTTAATCAAGGTGCTCACGTGATTTGATGCACTTCGCGATGTAAGACTCGTTTTATCGCAATATAGATCCTGATTATCAATCAGATCGACTTGACTGGGCGCCACTGTTTTGTTTGAAGCAAATGCAAGTGATACGGGAGGTTGAATCTGATTGGTCAATAGGAGAGGCATAGAAAGGACATAACTCATAATAGCCACTGGTGGCGCTACGATCGAGCCCAGGAATTCCAGCCTAGTTCGGCAAGGGTGGAAACTGGACTTTTAAAGTCAGTTAACTCTCTTGCCTCGGGAAGATGGTGTGATCTGTGAATAATCAACAAGACAAACTAGTTCTTGACATGAGCAACATTCCACACTGTGTGGATATGATGACACGCAATTAACAAAGTTATCAGGGGTGGTCTAGTTGTCCAAGGTGCAGAGCTGTGTCCCTTAGGCATGCCAGGAACCTATGATCATGGGTTCAAATCCCAGTTTCCCCGATTTTGTTGTAAGGTTTGTGACCCCCATATTCATGCTTTCCTCCCACATAAAGTTGTCATGATGTGATAAAACTGAAGTACCAAAGATTGTCCAATGATTGTCCAAATGTCAGAGGTTTTTGATGCACTGAAAATAATGACCCTCCCCTAATGCTTGTCATATTTTTGGAGGTCCCTCCTTGAAAAGACACAATGCTTTTACAATGCAAAAGCATTGTATGTTTTTTTTTATAAAATGTCATGCATGACCCTACCCAAATATGTCTTATTTTTCTTCAGATCCTCGGGGGCATGGGTGGCCCTGTTGTCTAACTAAGTAAGGCGCCGCGATTCGCTGTGCAGAGTTGCGTCCCTTGGGCACGCAAGAAACCTATGATTGTGTGTTCGAATTTTGGTTCGCCACGTTATGTTTCTAGGTTTGTCAGCACCATACCCGTGCTTGTGGGTTTCACCAAAGTGGTAAACATCCGAGACCTGCATCACTTCGGGCTTTCCTCCCACATTAAGCTGACACGCCGTGATATAACTGGAATATAGGATTGGGACGAGTCCAAATATACTACCCGGGTACCCAATGCAAGTCTCAAGAGTTGGGAACAAAATGCCTGATTGGTAATTGTTTACCGCAGCCCAGGCTAAAACTATTTAGATACATGTATCAAACAATCAGATCATGCGTTCACTGAAGTTGACTGAAGCTTTGTCTTTACTCAAACATGTACAAGTCAAAAAGAAATGAGTGCATCGTCAGAAAGAAATGCGAACATTAGCGACTTGTAGTGTAACCACTGAGCTATTGTGAGTTTTTGTCATTAAACAATATATCATGTCACTAACCACGGGTCTGGGTAGTCCTGTGGGTTACCCTACTGGAATAATGTCAAAAGCGGCGTTAAACCAAACTTACTCTTCTGATCCTCCCCTAGAGACTGTCCTATTTTGGTGCGACCCTCCCCTAGTTCCTATGTCCCCTCTCCCCAACAATAGATCACGTGTCCCTTATTGGCATCATTTATTCTTTGAAGGTTTTTGTATCAGATTATTGAAGAATAACGGTCACCATGGTTACATGTGTATGGGGATTGTGTGTTGCAGCAGGACGGAGACTGTCGGAGAGGGAGAGGGTCACTGCCTACATCGTGTCAAACTGGTTCAACAATCGCAGGAAGGAGGTCAAGCGACTTGCAAGAGAAGGTGAGCTTTCAGTCATATACTCATGGTCATAAGTAATGCAACAACATAATTTGTCACTTCAAAAGTTACATGTAACTTAGATAGAATTCAAATATGTCCCAAATAACTTGTCTCTGATGAAGATGTAAAAATGTTCACCCAGTATTTGTGCCTTCTGATTTTACTGCATTTCAAACCATTTGACAAGATATTTGTTCATTAACATCATTATTATATTAGGTGTATCATGCAAATGAATTTTGGAAATGAACATGCGATTTCTTGAGGGAAGCAATGTGGCACTATGTTTGGAAGTCTGACATGAGAAACATTTGGGTTGCAGGTCAGTTAACAATTCCTCAATCTCATTAAAATCAGATCTTAGTTCTTGCTACCGCTAAACAAAGATCTGAGGACATCCCATTACGGGTCATGTCAGACCGACCTTGCGCTAACTTTGACCGACCAATAGAATGACAGACAAGAAGTCGACATTAGCCAATCAGAAGGCAGCTTTCTTGTGCTTTACAGCACTAATTTCAAATTGGCAACTGCACTTCGAAATATATCTGAAAAAAAGAACATTCTGGAATGGCTAATAAATGGTTTTGATTGTATGGATTCAGTCGTTAAGCCTGTAACTATCGTTCGGAATATCTTGTGTTAAAAGTTTTGGAGGTTGCATTAGTAGAAATCACATTCCGACTGTCACTTTCATGATCTGGTAAGTGACGCTCCGATTGGTCGGATGAAAGGTCGTTCTGACGTGACCCCTAATGGGATGTCCTCAGATCTTTGTTAAGCGTTAGCGAGAAGTAAGTTCTGATTTTAATGAGGTTGACAATTCCTCTACTGCCCTGTGTTTTGTCGTGCATTTCTGCTACAGAGAGATGGACAAGTCTCACTCTGCACGACATTAACTATTAAGACAGAAGGGAGGCAACTCCTGACAGACTATCATTGTGCCAGCACTTGGCTCAATGACGTTATATTAGAATACTAGAATTATCCTCAAACTGAGGTTGACTGTTTCTTTAAAGTATTGTTTTTCATAAGAGAATGGATCTATGGTACTTCATGAGAAACCTGTTTGTGATTTCCTAATTGTATGAATTCATGGTATTACCCTAAATATGTTGTTCATCGAACATTTTGCAATTTCATTTAATATTCTTCACCCATGAAGATCCAGGTTAGGATAGGTCTTCAGCAACCCATGCTTGCCATAAAAGGCGACTAACAGGATCGGGTGGTCAGGCTCCCTGACGTGGTTGATACATGTCATATCCCAATTTCGTGGATCGATGCTCATGATATCAATCACTGGATTGTCTGGTCCAGACTTGATTATTTACAGACCGCCGGAATATAGCTTAGTACAGTGTTAAACAGCAAACAGCAAACACAAAATATACTACTTAAAAAAAGTTTAGGACCACCTAATTCTTTTATATTACTATTGTTAAGCTGTTATGCCATCACAGATTAACTATAGTACTATGAAGAATTGGGTGGTCCTTAACTTGTTTTGAGTAGTATATATTCTGATTGATAGGTTACATAATCTGATCGATAAATAACAATCTTATTTTGTAATAGAAGGTGTCTCCTTTGCTGACGTAGTCCTCCCAAGTCGACTGAAATCCCGCCAACTAGTCCCCAACTCTGACTCTCCCCTCTCGCACGACGATCTGGTCCCAGGTGAGCCCGACGGCAGTGACAGCAATCAGCTTGACTACGCCACCATCAACAAGATGCTGTATTCCCTGGAGGGGGAGGATGAGAAGGTTGTCATCAAGCAGGAACCTGCAGATGAGGACTCCTGACAGGCTACCATCAAGCTGAATGAAAGAGGAACAAGCAGATGTCCCTTGACGGCCCACGATCAGGTTCCTTGACGGCCCATGTGTCCGGCTGGTCATCAGAAGGGTGGACGTGCCCATGCCCATGTGTTTGGTTAGATGTCACAACATGTACTTTGATGTCCTTAACAAGACAACTCACGGACTCCCTACATGTCGCAAGGAGGAGACCTATGATGATTCATGTGGTTTGTTCAGGATAATGTGGTAGCAATTGGATTTGGGTCCGATTTTGTTAGGTGACGGCTTAAGGATAATGTGACAAAGGATAATGTACAGATCTGGTTATCTACCACTGACAAAACACTATATATCATATAACAAACAGACTTGTCCAAGTCAAGAAAGGAATTAATGTTTGATATAAAAGTGGTATCGTGGTTTAGCTGGACAGCATTCATTGTCAACATGTCACATAGTAACAAGTTGTTGTAATAGTGTTGTGCATTGGTGTCTGTACTTAAGTTATTAAGGGGGGGCACGGGTGGCCCAGTCGTCTAAGGTGCCGCAATTTGCTGTGCAGAGTGGCGCCCCTTTGGCACGCCAGAAACCTATGATTGTGGGTTCGAATCCTGATTCGCCCCTATTCTGTTTCTAGGTTTGTAAGCACCATACCCATGCTCCTGGGTTTCACCAAAGTGGTAAACGTCTGAGACCTGCATCCCTTCGGGCTTTCCTCCCACATAAGCTGTTAAAAGCAGCGTTAAACCCAACTCACTCACTCAAGTTATTAAGGTTCACAACAAAGACTGATCCTTGTATACACATCCACCACTAAAATTGTCAGTGATTGATAATGGCAGTGCTATGAACTGGGACGAGTCCAAATTTACTACTCGGGTACCCAACCCCCTATTACCCGACCCTACCCGGGTACCCACTGTAGGTCTCAAGAGTTTGGAACACAATGTCTGATTGGGAATAGCCCTGTAGCCCTGGTAAAAACTGTTTAGATACCTGTATGAAACCAGAGGCCATATAATAGGTATATGGTCTCTTATGAAACGATGGATTCATGCGTACACTAAAGTTGACTGAAGCTTTATCTTTACTCAAACATATACAATTCAAAAGGAATGTGTGCATCATCATATAGAAATGGGAACATAAGCGACTTGTAGTGTAACCACTGAGCTCTAGTGAGATTTTGTCATTAAACAATATGTCACGTGACTAACCACGGGTCCGGGTCGTACTGTGGGTACCCGGGTCCTCCCGACCCCAGTACCCGAGTTACCCGTCCTAGCCCTAATGCTCAGGATATCAATCACTGGATTGTCTGGTCCAGATTCGATTATTTAAAGACCGCCATCATATAGCTGGAGTATTGCTGAGTGCGGCGTTAAACAACAAACAAACAAACAAACAAAACCTACCTTTAGCGGAGAACCCTTGGGAAGCCCTATTCCATATCGATCATCTCCGAAAATTTGCGATAGGAGCTTCAACTCAGTTAGGGGCCAAATGAGCCCTTGCATAGTCAAGTATTGGGTAGCCCCTAAATAGGCAACCCACCCAACCCAAGTACCCGTCCAGTCCCAATCGTGTTACATGGGAAATGAGGCTGAACTTGTTTCAATGTTTGTCTGGATTACTTGAGACTGTGGTGTCAACAAGTCAACAAATAAAGAAAACAAATAAAGCAATTTGACCCAGGAAGTTGTTGCAGAAGTTTACATCCTCATGGACTCAGAGGGAGTAGGGTTCAATGCCACTTTGACCTGTATTTCGGTAATAGTGCGGAGTCAGTTCGATGGAGCAGACAAACCAGGGTTGTTTTCAAAACTAAATGTGAACAAATTGTTGGATAGGCATTACTTAGAAGTTGATGGATGACAAAGTTTATGGATAACAACTTCTTTATGTAAAGGCGACGTTTCTGTGTAGATGCTCATACCATTGTCAAGCAAGGCTGATACATCGCCTTTACAGTAAATAAAGTTGTTATCCATAAATTGTATATACTTTGTAGATCTAAACATAGCGAAGAACCAACACACAATGCAAGGAAGGTGTCTGAAATGGCACAAGCTTTCTTGTATTTATCTAATTTTACTTCTGATATTGACATGAGTAAGAATATGACAATGTTAAAAATTGAAAACCTGAATTTTCATGAATTCACATTTTTCCAACATCAAACTTTGAACTGCTCCCTAAGAATTAAGCTTCGTAAGTTGCAATTATCTGTTGCTATAGATACCACTACTTTTGCAGATGCTTTCTATCACTAGTGTATCAGTGGCTTTTGTACTTTAATAACTTGCATTCAATGATAAAGAACAGACAAGTCTCATATTTCCGACAATTTTTAATATATTTATCCATGAACACACTCATTCATCCACACTGGACACATAACAATCAACTCACGAACATACTGTGAAAACAGTGCAAGTTCTCCAGGACACAGTTGTTGACAGTCATACACTCCGTTCTGAAGGCACTGATTGTCTGATGTCTGAGCCACAAGACACAAACTTGGCCCTTAAAACGAACAATGAATAAGTCTTAATTCTGAAGATTTTTGGGTCCAGAACCACTTGATGAAGATGTTAGATGAAGTTTTTGCATAAACTGCCTGTTACAATCATATTATGTAGCTTGTGGCCTGCCAGGCCCCGTTGTGCAAAGATGATCGTAGCCCCATACTTTAACGTAGGCTTATGGTAGTCGTAGCTCACAAAGCAAGATCACTTTGTGGAATGCGGCCAGGTCACTTAGAATATCCCTGAACAGAGCAAGGTACTGCAACGTATTCTCAAAAATAGCAGGGAATTGATGCAATGATCTCTTCACGTCTGTTAGTATTTGTCTCACATGTAGGAAGTTCAGGGATGAAGTAAGTTAACACGGTAGTATTCCAGCACTTGTGGATGGACAATTCCTGCTATTGCAGCACACACTGCTTCACATTCCTGTGTAGTGGACATTAAACACACACTGGAGTATTGACCTTACAGGGGCAACCTTTCTAACTCCAATACGGCCACACATTTTGTATTTTTCGTTTCACGGTCTTGCCGCCTCCACTAAAAAGAAGCTGGTTTAAGAAATATATTAAACATAAAAATATTTACCTAATATAGACCCTCTTATGCAATATAACATGTTACATAAATTCCATGTCTACATCCTTATCAGTGACCATCTGCAGCCTCAATGGCAGAATGACATAAATGATTGACATTTATTTTTTTTCGACCGACCTTGCGTGGAGAAGCTGGAATAAATCTGTGAAACATAAAATTAAAAAAGTGTGGCCTTAGCATTGATGAAGGGCGGTGCAGGAATGGTTTGTTTGTTTGATTGTTGTTTAATGCCAAACTCAGAATTATTTCAGCTATATGATGGCGGTCTGTAAATAATCGAGTCTGGACCAGACAATTCAGTGATTGACATCATGAGCATCAATCAACGAAAGCATGCATGGGTTATGAAGACCTATTAATCAGTGCTAGTTCTGCCTAATGAACATGGTACTAGTGTAAACAACTGAGTGTTGAAGCCAATACACCTTAACAATCAATTATGTTTTGAGCGGACATCCCTGTGGAACAAAACTTGATAAAAATACGTATTAACCCCAGATTACATTTGGAAATATTCGCTTGAGAAAGCTAACCCTTACAATATAACAGGTCCCACGGGCAAAGATAGTAAGGGGTTCTCCCCTAGAGATAGAAAGGAGACTAAAGACGGTAGAGGTATGCAAGACCAGGGACGTTTTAGTCACAGCTGGAGACAATTGGCACAAAAAGCAGGCTTTGCCCGGTAAAATAACACCACAAAATAATTGTTTGACAATCATTAAAGTATGTATGTTAAAATGAAAATGCAAGACAAGTTGCAAAAATAACAAACAAAAGTGTTAGATGAACACTGAATCCATGGAAACAAAAGACGACATGAATCTCCAAATATTGCCCATCTGTTCAACCCATCAGGGTTAACTATATCATACCACTGCTGAAAGCCAAATCCAGCAGACTGCACCTACTTTTACTTCAACCAATCACAGTATTTGAAAATTCTGGACACCACAATCCTGACATGGAAAGGTTGGTAGAGTTGATGTCTAACATACACATTTCTCTCTGTCTGGCACAACTCACTTGCAGTCTGGCACAGAGTTAGCACGTCTTGGTGTCTGGCACACTATCTGGCACCTGGCGTCTGGCATACTGTTGGCACTAGGCGTCTGGCATACTGTTGGCACTAGGCGTCTGGCACACTGTTGGTACTATGCGTCGAGACAGGCGTCCGGCTCTAGGTGTCTGGCACACTGTTGGCACTAGGCGTCTAGACATGTGTCTGGCATACTGTTGGCACTAGGCTTCTTCCTCTTCAGCCTGACCTTCGGCGAAGGGAAGCACTCCTTGACCTCGGTCAGGGTCCGGCATACGGAAAATACGTGAATCTATGCCAATGTGTAGTTGACTGAAACAGTATGTGTAATTACATGTTATATAACAAACTTGTGAATTAAAATAAATAATATCACTTACATGAATTTCAACAATGTCTGAAGTGTGTGTTAATAGACAATCTTCACAATGTAAGCATGTGTCCGATATCTCGATGTCGAGAAAGTGTGTCTGAACCAGATCTGCGTGCATGTTGGCATATATCATGACTGTTACATATCTTGTTTCTTGCTTGTTTTTTGTTTAAAGCCGCACTCAGCAATATTTCAGCTATATGACAGCGGTCTGAAAACAATCAAGTCTGGACCAGACAATTCAGTGATTGACATCATCGATCCACACAATTGGTATATGATGACATGCATCAACCAAGTCAGGGAGCCTGACCACCCGATCCCGTTATATTGACAAGCATAGTTGTCTTTTATGGCAAGCCTGAGTTGCTGAAGACCTATTCTAACCCGGATGTTCAAGGGTCTGTTACATATCAAGCGTGTCTGACGTATCAAGTGTCTGTCCAATATATCATGTCTGTGTTTGTGCATGCAATAATATGCAGTGTCTGCCATAACCTGTCATGTGTGTGACCGCAGATCGTGTCGAGGCGCGTCTGACAGATTGTGTTGCGTGTGACAGATCGTGTCATGTGTAATCTCATGTCCTGTGTGTGACAGATCTTGTCTGTGTCTGACCTCATATCTTGTGGAGTGAGGAAGATGAACTGCCGCCCTGTCTGCACCCGAGCCACCTCCATCATCATATCCATGGAGATCCGCCTGTTCACCATGTCCTGAAATACATCATCAGAATGTACGTCGTCAGGGATCTAATTGCCAATTATTCTTAGCATCCGCCTCTTCCTTATTATAAGTGTTCGTCGACCTAAACAGCAGTCAGCAATATTTCAGCCACATCATGGCAGTCAGTAAATAATCTAGACTGGCCCAGACAAACGAATGGTCGACATAATGACCAAGTCACAATTTAGTTGTCTATTACCTCAAGCACTAGAGTGCTGAGGAACAAGTTTAACCCAGGTCTCTACAGGGTGTTAAGATGTCTTTGCACAACCAGAAAATCCAGTGACTGACATCATGAGCATCGATCCACGCAATTGGTATAGGATGACATGCATCAACCAAGTCAGAGAGCCTGACCACTCGATCCCGTGAGTCGCCTCTTATGACAAGCATAGGTTGCGAAAAACCAATCCAACCCGGCTCTTTACTGGCGATATCCAGTACAGGTACTGCTAACAACACATGACAGAATAACATTATTCACTGTGCACCAAAATGGCTGCTACACTCACCATGAAAACGTCGAACTCGTCAAGGCATCGGAAGGGGGACTCCATAGCATCCCACAATGCCAGGATGAAACACACGGTGGAGAAGGATCGCTCGCCTCCAGACAGAGACTTTAGATCCTTGGCCCCCTCTGCCGAACTGGATGTTGGCTGCACCTAGCATAGGAATTCCACTTTACACTCTGCCAAAAATCATACTTAACCTGTCTGGTTTAGTCATGGTTATTTTTTGTCTTTACCGATATATTTAGTTATCTTAAACATGAAGAAAAAAGATATTTATTCAAATATTTAAAAAATTGATTTCATTACAAATCTCATTCATTATATAAATATTTATCTAAATATGAGTCATGTTAGATATACCAATTATAACATAATGACGAGGAATGTTTCACGGAAATGAAAAAAACCTGTTTTTCTCAATTTAAAAATCGACACAAAGTGTTATGTAGCTGTAAATACGAAATAACAAAACAACTTGAAAAGTACTAGTCTGGATTTGCTAGTTTGATCTCAGTGAACAATACAAAATGTACTTTACAGGAGGTAATTTGTTGGCACTTTCAACATTCAAAAATAAAACTAAGTCCAAATTGACATAGCAGAAACAGACTATAGGCATTATGCACCTGTTCTCACCTGTCGTCAAGGTGTCATAGGTCACCTTGATCTACTTACACCTGGTTATGCCCTGTTTCACAATAGTCTGTTTTATTCACATTTTTACACACTTTTACGTGTAAAAAGGCATAAAAACATTTGATACGCTGTATTTGTGCCATGGCCCAATTAGTACAAATTAAGTTGTTTGAATATTTACATATTTTGTATATTAACTTCATTTATTTAAGATCTGAGGTCGAAAAAACAGTTTTTTTCCATTTCCGTGAGTACCTTAGTACACAGGTTACGAGTTGGGAGGGGTAGGACAAGTACATCGACAAGCAGGACACCAATGCAACAGGGAACGTTAGAAGCAAGCAACAGGTAGTCCATAACTGGTCACAGGGTGTAGGTTAGTCATAAACTCCAACTAGAAAGGTCTACCACATCCGTGGTGGATAAATCTTGAATCCTGATTTCCTGCTGATTCATGAGGAATACCCAGTTGTCTGGCATGAGTGAATTCACAGGTACTCTGTACATCGTCCCTTCTGTCATTTTAATAACATCCCAGACTTACTGGAACTGTTGTCCTTATTGAAGTACAGGACTTTGAGACCGAAGGGCGGTTTGGTCAATGAATAACATTAATTAATCTAAAGAGTAGTGTGATAAAACAAGGTTTCCTGTTCAGTTACTACTTACATAGGGCGATACATCGGTTATTACTTACATATAGTGATACACAAGCTATTATTTACATACAGTTATTCATCAACTATTACTTACATAGGGTGATACATCAGCTATTACTTTCGGTAATACATCAGTTATTACTTACATAAGGCATACATAAGCTATTACATAGGACAATACATCAGTTATTACTTACATAGGGTGATACATCAGCTATTACTTACGGTAATACATCAGTTATTACTTACAGTCCGTTTGACTCCAAATGAGAACAATGAATTGCAAAATAACTCGAAATCCAGAAAAGTGTATGAAACATCAATACGGTACTTGACCATGAATACCCTGTACCCAACAAAATCTGAATTTTGTTTATTTTAAGACCCATGATGGATGAAGTTCTTTAAGAAACTATCATGTAATTTTGTATAGAAATGAGTACATGACACGTAGGGGGACAAACCGTGGAAGGAACAGCGCAAGCACGGTTTGCACGTGCTACACAGTGACCGTGTTCATTCAATGACAAGATGCTCAGCAGATGTTAAACAGTTGATGTTGAATGTGTATGATTTCTTTAGAAGTGAAGCAGAAAGAGCAAAGCCTTTTTATGCAATTAATAAATTCTTGAAACGAGCTTCAAAAGCTCTTGGTATGTCCCCTCAGAAACTTAAAAATGTTGTCAGTCTACGAGATACAAATAGTCAGGCCAAGGAGGTAGGGAACATGTCAAAACCACGCAAGGTTGATAAATTAGACAGTTTTCAGAGGGAAATTGTTAAACTGCACTCAGAAAATAAGTTCCTGTCCTTAAAATTTTGAAGAAACACCTTGAAACTGACCATGATTTACGTGTTCCAAAGTACAAACTATGGCAGCTGTTGCATACATTTGGTTACAAATACAACAAGTATTTGTCACAGAGTGACGAAATATCCCCCGCCTGTACACCATAGTACCAAATATGAAGACAATCCAGCGATTAGTTCTTGAGATATTGTGGCAACACCGTTTTCCAACTCCAAAAACAGATTTGCCTGCTGTGACCTTGAAAATGGGGTCAAGGTCACCAAATCTGACAGGTGTATGCAGTGTCTGTATATACACTATAGTTCCAAATATGAAGACAATCCAGCGATTAGTTCTTGAGATATCGCGGCAACACCGTTTTCTAACTCTAAAAGCAGATTTGCCTGCTGTGACCTTGACAATGGGGTCAAGGTCACCAAAACCGACTGGTGTCTGCGGTGTCTGTATATACACCATAGTTCCAAATATGAAGACAATCCAGTGTTTAGTTCTTGAGATATCGCGGCAACACCGTTTTCCAACTCCAAAAGCAGATTTGCCTGCTGTGACCTTTAAAATGGGATCAAGGTCACCAAAACCGACTGGTGTCTGCGGAGTCTGTATATACACCATAGTTCCAAATATGAAGACAATCCAGTGTTTAGTTCTTGAGATATCGCGGCAACACCGTTTTCCAACTCTAAAAGCAGATTTGCCTGCTGTGACCTTTAAAATGGGATCAAGGTCACCAAAACCGTCTGGTGTCTGCGGAGTCTGTATATACACCATAGTTCCAAATATGAAGACAATCCAGTGTTTAGTTCTTGAGATATCGCGGCAACACCGTTTTCCAACTCTAAAAGCAGATTTGTCTGCTGTGACCTTGAAAATGGGATCAAGGTCACCAAAACCGACTGGTGTCTGCGGAGTCTGTATATACACCATAGTTCCAAATATGAAGACAATCCAGTGTTTAGTTCTTGAGATATCGCGGCAACACCGTTTTCCAACTCTAAAAGCAGATTTGTCTGCTGTGACCTTGAAAATGGGATCAAGGTCACCAAAACCGACTGGTGTCTGCGGAGTCTGTATATACACCATAGTTCCAAATATGAAGACAATCCAGTGTTTAGTTCTTGAGATATCGCGGCAACACCGTTTTCCAACTCTAAAAGCAGATTTGTCTGCTGTGACCTTGAAAATGGGATCAAGGTCACCAAAACCGACTGGTGTCTGCGGAGTCTGTATATACACCATAGTTCCAAATATGAAGACAATCCAGTGTTTAGTTCTTGAGATATCGCGGCAACAAACAGGTGGGACGTACGGACGGTCGTGAATACTATATCCCCCGCTTCGCGCTTTCGCGCGGCGGGGGATAAAAAAGATAACTGGAGAAAATAGGGCTGTGTTGTGTGAACGGTCTGACATTGTTCGTCTCCGAAATCATTACCTTCTTACCATCAAGCAGAAACGTGAAGAAGGATATGAGCCCGTCTACTTAGATGAGACATGGGTAAATGCGTCACACACAGCCAGCAGTCAGTGGGTACCCAGTGGTGACTGTAAGGAGTCTGATAGAAAGTTACCAATGGGAAAGGGTGAAAGACTCATAGTTCTCCATGCTGGTTCTGCTAGTCAGGGTTTTCTCCCAGACTGTGGCCTCGTCTTTAGAGCCAAAGCCAAAGACAACAGGGACTACCACACAGAAATGAACGGCAATGTATTTCTGGAGTGGGTGAAAGATAAATTAGTCCCTGCTTTGCCTACCAAGTCTCTCATTGTCATGGACAATGCACCGTATCATAATGTGCAGGATCCAGAAAGCAAAACTCCAACCACTAACAACTGTAAAGGAGACATGGTTACTTGGCTGCAACGGAGGAACATTACCTATATAGGATGATACATCAGCTATTACTTACATAGGGCGATACATCAGGTATTACTTACATAGGGTGATACATCAGCTTTTACTTACATAGGGCAATACATCTGGTATTACTTATATAGTGCAATACATCAGTTATTACTTATATAGGGCGATACATCAGCTATTACTTACATAAGGCCATACATCATTTATTACTTACATAGGGCGATACATCAGTTAATACTTACATATGGCGATACATCAGTTATTACTTATATAGGATGATACATCAGTTATTACTTATATAGGGCGATACATCAGCTATTACTTACATAGGGCGATACATCAGGTATTACTTACATAGGGTGATACATCAGCTATTACTTACATAGGGCCATTCATCAGTTAATACTTACATATGGCGATCCTCAGTTATTACAGACATAGGGCGATACATCAGTTATTACTTACATAGGGCGATACATCAGCTATTACTTACATATGGCGATACATCAGTTATTACAGACATATGGCGATACATCAGTGATTACAGACATAGGGCGATACATCAGTTATTACTTACATAGGGCGATACATCAGCTATTACTTATATATAGGGTGATGCATCAGTTATTACAGACACAGGGCAATACATCAGCTATTACTTACATAGGGTGACAAGTCAGCTATTATTTATATAGGGCGATACACCAGTTACTAATTATATTGGGTGATACATCAACTATTAATCATATAGGGCGATACATCTGCTTATTACTATTGCTCAGGAGACTATATGCCTTCTAAGAAAGGTGAAATTCGAAACATTCTTCGGTAAAAAAATAGTTTTCTGGCCATGAAATAAAGATCATAATTAATTCTGAAATAAGATTTTTTTGTTACAAATTGAAATAATTACCTGGAATTTTTAAAATTCTTTTTGCTTGACATTAGGGAAAGTTTAATTACTTAGAACTTAGAACTTGTGACACCACGGACCTCCTGGATAGCTAAACTCAACTGTTTGTTTGTTTGTTTGCACTCAGCAATATTCCGGCTATATGATGGTGGTCTGTAAATAATCCAGTGATTGACATCATGAGCATTGATCAATGCAATTGGGATCGATGACATGCATCAACCAAGTCAGCGAGCCTGACCACCCGATCCCGTTAGTCGCCTCTTACGACAA